GTCATTATGGGGATAAGAAGATAAGATTGAGAGACAGTGTAAGCTGACTTGAGTTCCTTGGAAAGAAAAAATGTGAGATATAAACATAATACATAAATTGCCTAAGGAAGTGATCACTGCTGTTGACAAAAGGAGTGTTACACCTTGAATGCATTAAGAATAATAAGAAATTGGGGTGTGTCTGAAGGTAATAGTGTCATGAGCTGAGGTTTTTTCTTCCAGCAATCACCTGTCACAGACCCTTTTCCTTGCAAATGTTTCTTTATTGCTCCCAATAAAGAAATGGAAGACAGAAACCTAGAATGGAATTCTAAGCATGCACAGAGTGGCATGTTGACCCCAGTCTAGTGTTTACCTCCAGGAACTCTCCTTATGAGCATGCCTGGGCCTCACCCCCTTGGGAGGGGCTCTCCAAGCACACCTCCTCTCCATGTACTCCTCATTCAGTTGGACTTCCTGCCTCTGCTGATACCTCACCATGGGGTCATGAACAGGGGAAGTCTGGTTTGCATCTGAGAATTCCTCCTCCCCAGAGACCCACCCCACTGGATGTACATCTTGGTCATTCCCAGAAACTGCCTAGCCCAGCGCAGCAAGCTAATCACTTCTACCTTCTTTATCTCAGAATCTTGACCTAGTCCATCCTCCACGATCACATTGTAATTTGTTTTACATTCTGATTCCAAATCATATGGGATACAGCCAGCAGTGTGTGAAAACCATTGCCCCAAACAGCCAACCTTCTGACTCCCAACTTATATTGCATGATTCACTTTAGTTAGCCCCACTATACTGAAGTGAGCTTTTTCTTATACTCTGATCTACACAAGCCTTCCCTACCTGGTTCTCTCCATATGCTTTGAATTAGTTGTGCTGGAATGAAGAAGGCTAAAACATCTGGAAGGCTGGGAAAGCTGGGGAAAGCTGGGGAACGCCAGGCTATGCTGCCACAGCAGCTGTACAAGGCTTTTTGAGGGACAGAATGTTTGAAAAGTTCTTTTCTGAACTTCCTTACTTGATTCATAGAAAGTGCATTTCATTAAGTAAGACTTTGTTCTTTCCTTTTTTTAAAAGGTTAGCACAGATAGTCTCCTTTTCCTATTAAAAATCCAATAGTCTCTCTAAAAGTAAACATGTTCTCCTATTGCAGGATCTTCCTGTTAGTAACAGTTGCATATAAATAAAGTTCTCTAAACAAACTTCTTATCTTTTTATGGAAGGAAGTTCATTAATGAGGAATTGATGTTTTTCCCTGAAGAAATTTTTTTGGGGGTGGGGCAAATCCATTACCCAATCTAAAGAAATAAATGAATATACTGGTATTTTTATTCCATTTTCACAACAGACTGGATAACTGAAACATAGATAAGGTATGTCTGCTGGTGTTTCCAAACAAACAGTACTCTCATCGCTTCCTTTCCACTATAATGCTGCCTTTTTTTCCTTCTTCCCTCAGGACTATTTAGCATGTTACAAGTTTTATGCAGGGAAATCTCATTCCTATGATGAAAACTGTTGATGTGGAAAAATTCACAGAAATGTACTTACAGATACACAGGCAGGCCAATCAGATTCTCTGTCATACATGTATTAGATTTGTAGGCACAGATGGGTGAAAACACTCTGATGTTTTGGCCCAGAAATGACATCCAAGTACAGTCCCAGTTTTTAGCAAGAGAATGATGTGGGTTAATTTCTATTTCTTTCAGTCAGAAGAAATCTTTAGGATTTATCCAATGTTAAGTGGCCTTCTGCATCCAAGTTTCAGCAATAAAACTTTTGCTCAATATAAAAGATATTAATCTGCCACCATTTTGTATCTCTTTGGGTAAATTCATAGAAGAATTCACAGTGCATCAGACAGTTAATTGGGCTCTGCATGGGTTGTCCTCCCCTCCATCCCCCTTGGTCCTCCTGCAGGCATCCCAGCACAACAAACACCCTATCTTGTCTTTGTTGCCTCACTCCAACTGTGACCAGTTTGTGCAGTTACTTCAGCTCCCCCCCCCCCCGCCCGCAACTTCCCCTTTCAAGAAATAGTTGTTCACAAGCTCCAAAGTGACAGTGATAACCCGTCCAAAGTGTCCAAGTCACATTTTGGAGCAACCATCAATCATTGAACATCTATATATAATTCTGTACTCAAATGCATGCAAATAGTTTCACTTGTATTTATTTCTGTCAGTATTTTAGTGCATAAGTACACAGCTCTGACTACCCAAAATGTATTGACCTGCCTGGTCAATATCCCTCCTATGTGCCTACTAACAAAGCAGACATCAATGCTGATTAACAAAACCAAGCTTCAAATACAGCAGTCATGTACAAAGCATAGCTGTGAAGGGAAACTGCTTGAGCAACAGTAGTGGCAAGCAGATCATCAATTTTGCAATGAGATCTTATTGGTTTTAAATTTGAACTTGATAGTTCTCAGTGTCTTCCCCCTTTTAACCTTTTCTCAAACCACTAGATACTCTGGAAAGTGAGTAAGTGCAGTCCATTTAATTCACAAGAACAGTTACATTTTACAGTAGCTGTTATTAAGGGGTTTTTTTAAACAAGGTTTTTGACAAGGCTAAACAGGTTGTTTTTGACAGGACACATCCCATTCTGGATCCTCAATGAAGTTGAAATCCCTAATAAACAAGCCCTGCAGGTCTTCATGGCACAACAACCCACTGTAGCTAGTTGTCCACAATGAGCTGTCCTATTGAGTAAACACAGTTCCTCTCTCTTCCTTGCAACATCTGATATCTACAAGTTATGGTTTGACAGCTTGCTGTCCATGTCCCCGTTCTTGTCTTTCATCACTGGCTGGCATCCAGGGAAATGGAAATGCATAGATCGCTGACACAACACACAATTGCTTGGAACAATGGAGAGAGGAGATAGAACAGGGAGAACAGCAGCTCTCTTATAACTTCTGCTTTGACAGTGAGATGATGATTCCAGGATGCTCTTCTTATTTTATTAACTTTGCTTAATAAGAGGGTAGGCAAACTAAAATCTCTACTATAACATGTTTGTTAGTTTTTAATGCTACCCCTTCTTAAATTCTGACTAATACAATTTTCAATGTCTAAATATCCCTGAAATTTAGTGGTATTGCCAGAAGCTTACTTAGCTGACAAAGCCAGGAAGAAAAGCATAATTTTTTAAAGTAAGAGATACTAAATCATAGATGCTCTGAAAGGTGAGAAACATTCTTTGTCATGGCCTCTGTGCATTACACATTATGGGTGCTGCACCTGCGCAGTGCCTGACAATTTCATTCTCCAGGCCTACAAATGTCTAATTAGACATTTAAATAGAGTACTACCAGCCTTTTAATCTTGCACTACCTCTCCCCATAGTATCTATTTGAATACAGTGTATGATATATCAACTTGTGCATTCCCAAGAAGAATGACAGATACCATATAAGTGCTGAATAAAACACTGCAAGTTGATGCAGTTCCATTTCTAATAATTTCTTGTAAGACCCTGATTCTGCCCTTTTCATCACTTACATGCAGGTTACACCCAAGATACATCACTCCTTCCCTTTCAAGCTTTCTTAATGGGCTGTTAAGATGCTACACAGAGCAATGCAGGAGCTGTTGCAGCACATTTCCATTCCATGCTACTCTGGGAATATCTGACGATATGGGTAAACCACAATGGAATTCCATCATATATTGGTGCCCCAGTTTCTAAGAGGGACAAAGTAAGTGTGGAACCAAATCACACTGAGAGCTGTTACTCAAGGTGTTGCTGGAGCTGTGTGGAAACAAGAAATCTTGCACAAGTTCCTATACCTCAAGTGTCCTCAGACCATTCCTCCTTCTCTGAACCTCTTACACAAGTATTTGTCACAGGAGAGGGAATGCCAATAGGTGTGAAGCTAGGGAGAGTCTGTCCTGTCAGCATGGATGTCTAGTCATTCTCTGATGAGGTCAAGTCTTGACTACTGTAAGGTCTTCTCAAACATTTTCTTTAATACCACTCATGCCTGTAGCAGCTTCTGGGCCAAACTTTACCAATCCTTCTAACAGCTATTTGTTGATCTGCAGTTTTTACTGAGCTTTCCTAAAGCAGTTTGTATTTTTAACCTACAATCCTTACCTGACCTGGTATTTGTTCCTGTCCATTTGTCTCCCCACTTTGCACCTGAGAAATCATCATAGGAGGAGGAGGTGCTCTCCGCTTTTTTATTTCAGTGCTTCCAGTCATTCCTGAGATGTTCCCAAGAGACAGTGATTGACCCAATGTAATGGAACGTGAGTTCACTGAAGGAGAACTTGGAGCTGATGTAACTACCTGTAAGTAGATGAATAAAAATCTTTGTGAAAAATCTATTAAAATAAAAATTTCAAAGCCATCCTCACAACACATAACAGAAACAAAATAAATGCTAACCTATGCCTTGAAAAATTTCTCTCATGCTTTGAATTCCTCAAACTGTCTTGGATACCATTGCTGGAGAAAGTCAGGTGTACAAAATAAATAAATTTATAAGAGGCTGCTTCTGCATCATAATACCAGCAATCCTCAAATTCTGAGCTACAAGATATAACTTGCCACATGATTGTATATTGATGGCCACCAACGTGAGTCATCTTAAAGGGGGATTAGGAAAATCCATGGATAATAAAACAACAGTCACTAATAAAGTTGGCTATATATTACCTTCTGTTTCAGAAGCAGAATGCCTCTTTATACCCGCTGTTGGATAACTGGAATGGAAGCGTACTATTTTGCTCATGTCCTCTTAGAGGCATCTCATTGGCCACTGCAGGATCAGAATACCAACCTAGATAGAACCTTGATCTTATTCAATATATTTTTGTATGCTTTCTTCCAAGAAAGACTAGTAAGCTGGGGTGCAGTTGTATAGGACTGCATGATATATTGAATTTGCCACCTACAGTTCTACTTCTGATGCCAAAAGTCATCAATAACATTAAAAATAGCTATCCTAATAATTCTTTGGTTCTTGGTGTTTCCCCTCATTTCATAGGACAAAGTATTTAAAGGTCAGTGAGAACAAAACATAGTCTGCTGTCTGAGCAATTAGGTTTCCTGTTCTCCCTCCATCTTAAAATAGTTGTTTTTTTTAAACATGTTATTTTCTTGTAATGGGATTTATTAGATAAAACCTTTCTTCTGCAACTATGCGACAATACCTACTTAATTGCATTGTCTTGTCAAGCAAATTCCCTATGCACAGTTGAAGGTCTTCAGTCAAAATTAATCAACATGGCTTTTTTAAAAAGTCAGTGAACAGATATAGTCATTGCTGGAGTATTTTTTTTTCTTTTGTAGCCTTGACCAAAAGAAAGATGAACTAATACACAAAACCAACCCCCTCTCCAAAAAAAAGAGAGAGAAAGGTAAAGAAAACCTTTGACAAAGCACAGTTTTCTGTATACAAATGTTTTTAGGAAAAAAATTAAGTTCTGTATAATTAATTCCTCTATTAATAGGAACATCTATTTTGGTGATACATTGAATGATAGTAAAACGGCCATTAGGAATATAAAAGAATGGAAACCTCACATTTGATATTGTTCATTCTGCATTATTTCACAAGTCTGGTTTATATACAGACTGAATTCAGTTCCTGCAAAATTAGTGGGATTGTTCATTAAACCACATTTTTTCTGGAATAAAATGTGCCAACATAATATACACATTTCACTAATACTCCATCTACACCAAGAATGGGCAGCTTATAACCCTACAGATGTTTTGGCCTGTAGCTCCCATGAACCCTAATCAAATTGTGATGTACTTCTGTCAGCATATACTATACCATAAAAATTATGACTCAATGCATAGTCCCACTAGAACCAGGCCTACTTGTTAAATAAGCTATCAAACTCTCTTTTAAGCTTTAGTACTATGGACATAATCTTGGGTGCGAGGCAATCACAGCTCACACGTGATTATTCCTCAAGGATATTAGTAATCACAAACACAAATCTTATAATAGTCAGCTACTATGCTCTTAAATGCCTTGGTTTTATTTACTGCAATTTAAATTGTCCAGTAACCAAAATTGCTTTGCATTAGACACCTTTCAATTTGCTCAGTTCAAAGAAGTGGTCAAATTGCTTTTTGGGGGGCTGGATTTCTCCTCAACGGGCCCCTGATGGGCAAGGTCATGGTGATACAGCTCTGAGACTGACTGATTTAAGAGACCTGGCCCTTCCCCCTGGAGCAGCATGCAGAAAGGACCCAGGCCACCTTGCATCCTCATAGGGATTGAGCAGTGGCAGGACATAGCTGAATGGGGGGCAAGATAGCTTCATCCATTATAGAGATACTGAAAAGCTTGGGAAGTTAGAGTCAACCTTGATGAATCTAGCTGAACACAGAACAACAACAACAAAATGCACACTCAACCTTCACTATCAACTATTAAATGGAACTAAGCCATCATCATGCTATGCTTCCTAACTTCAAACCAGATATGCAAAGCAAAGGATACCATGATAAATCATGTAAAGAATTACAGAGATACTCAGCAAAACCAAGAGGGTTGCACTACCACCATCCTCTAGAGTAGGGGATCAACAAGCCTCTTCAGGGAGCAAACCCAATCCTTTTAAGGGGGCAGAGCCCACCTAGAAGGGGCTAAACACCATTTACTATAGTATGGGCCCAATTTAAGGTGCTGGTATTGACCTATAAAGCCCCAGAGGGCTTGGGACCAGGATACATGAAGGAAAATCTTTTTCCCTATATGCCCTCCCACCGCTTAAGAAGTGCAGCAGAGGCCCTGTTCCAGGAACCCTCCTTGAAGGAGGTTAGGAGAGAGAACACTCCAAGGAGGGCTTTCTCTGCAGTGGCGCCTGACTATGGAATGCGCTCACCAGAGGGGTTCGCCTGGCGCCGACATTATATGCTTTTCGGCACCAGGTCAAGACCCTTTTATTTACCCGATATTTTAAAATTTAAATATTTAATGTTTTTCTCCTCAGTCATGTGTTATTATGATGCATTTATAAGGAGCCTTATATTGTAAGCCGTCCAGAGACAAACCATAATGGATGGGATTGTTGTTTCCCAGTTGCAATGTACGGCTGTGAAAGTTGGACCATAAGGAAGGCTGAGCACCAAAGGATTGAGGCCTTTTGAGTTGTGGTGCTGGAGGAGACTCCTGCAAGTCCCTTGGACTGCAAGGTGATAAAACCAGTCAGTCCTAGAGATCAACCCTGACTGTATGAAGTCAGATGAAACTCAAATACTTAGGAGACATCTCTAATGCTGGAAGTGATTGAAGGCAAAAGGAGAAGGGGGACAGCAGCAGTTGAGATGGCTAAATGGGGTCACTGGGGCAGTTGGTTTGTGCTTGGATGGATGCCAAGGGATGGTGGAGGACAAGAGAGCCTGGAGGAATGTCGTCCATGGGTCCGTGAAGGTTTGGACACGACTTAGCGACTAAACAGACAAAAAACAGAAAAAACCCATTGATGCCTTGTACTTGAACTTGTCCTTGAACTTGGTTAGCTTCAGGAAGTTGTTTGAACTCTAAATTGTTCAAAGACCAAAGCAATTTTCCTCATTAGAAATAATGGAAAATAAATTACTCTGTTCCCAGACCCTAAACAATACCCATTTCCATAAATTTAAAAAGCAAATAGTGAAAATGCTGTGCCATAGAGGGGCTACATGGCCTCAGATGCCAAGGCCTCTGAACATAGAGGATCTGACCCATGGGATCTCTGGGGAACTAGGTTAAAGGGAGGTGGATGCCTTTCTGTGACTAAATCCCTTCTTCAAACTATTAACTTTGAAGCCTTTTTGTAAGATACTTCAGGGTGAAGAACTTCTAGGAATGATGTCTGGTTTCCTGGTCCATAACATAGCTTAGCATCTAAAATCAATTCCACAGATGCCCTCACCTTTCACAATCCATCACCACCTCATCATCTACTGTTCATCTCTGCAGGGCCTTAGCCAGGATGGGGCCAAAGGCTTCACAGACCTAATTTTTTTAATGGCTTGTATATCTCCAACTTCACATGTAAAGAACAATTGATTACTTTCAAAAGGAAAATATCTGGCTAAAAATGGAAACAGAATACATGCTAATGGATGCTCGTAAAGTGATTAGTACTTCAGCCATTACTCACCAAGCTGTGCCAACTGAAGATTCCCAGTTGGAATCTTACTCAGTACTTGCTACCAAGAGAAGAAAAGGTTGAAAGTTCATGTGGAAGCAGCAACCTCCTCTCACCCATCCTCTCTCATTGAGTGGAGAGGACAGAACTAATTGTGTCCAGACCTGAACATCACACACCCAATAAAAGAGGGTAAGTGAATGAACAGAAGCATTTGCTTTCACTTTCCCTAATGACAGTCCTACCACAAGCCTAGTCCTACCCAACCCATTGCCAGGGGGAGTGCACAAGAGAGAGAGGCAGGAGCCTAGGAGCCTGCAGCCTCCTCTTCCTGACATGTTTTCCCACTCTCTTCCCCAAAGATGGAGGCATAGGGTCTTTCTGTCCCACTCCTGCTCTTTTCCACCCTACAGGGCAAAGGAAGAAAAAGGAGATTGCTAAGTACCGTTTGACTGCTACCCCTTACTAGCAATGGCTGATTTGTTGGGTCTTTTATCAAAATAAAAATAACATCATTAAGCATACTTCAAAAAACAAGCAAACAGGAAAGTGGCATGGAAAAGAGGATAAAGGGCACACAGAATAACTTTAAGAAGAGGCATTTTTTCAAGATCACTTTATGATTCCTTATTTCCTTCAGGTATTATGCAAAATGAACAATTATACTGACTAAATGAAATTATTACATTATATTAAATGAATAGACTAAGAAATTTCTCAGACAATGAAATGATCATTGCACAGACTAAAGTATCTGGAGGCTGGGTATATACTGCGTGTGGGCTCTTGCACTCTCTGTGTGTCTTATTAAAACAGAGCAATCCAAATGTCTCTTTAAGCCGGGGATGCCCAGCCTGGGGTGCTCACACCCTCAGGGAGTATGAGATGGCATTTTGGAGGGTGTGACAAAGAAGAAAACTGCATCACAATTCACCATAGTTGGCAAATCACAATGTTTTTTCCTAAAAATTATCCCAATAATACAATCATTTATTGTTTTGTTTGGATTCAGTTTTTTTCGTCAATCTAGACAAAAGCTAGGAATTGCCTGGATCCAGAGGCAGACTTGTGCATCACAATCAGCAAGAAAGTTCCATGTTTTGAAAAAACTGGGAATGAGAAGCAGGAACAAAGAACTCATTGAATTTTATGCTCACAACTGGGACTGATTTCACTGTTTACTGTTTTTTC